TTTTTTTTCTCCTTCAAAAAAGATACCTTCTAACTCCTTTTTTCCAAAACAAAAACCAATCATGCCATATACAAACCAAGAGAAATTAACTGTGGGACACAAAGATGATTTTCCACATGTAACAAGCCTGGTAAGTTAGAATTGGAGACAAAAAGCATACTTTTATTTTTTTGTTTTTAAAAAGTTACCAGCAGCTTGGTGGAGATATATGTAAAACTGTACCATATTTCACTAAGTAAACTGTACCTATTTAAAATGTATAAATGGGATTAGCTCTTTGGAGACAATGAGATTGGCCTAGGATAGAGCAGGATTCAGAGCTAATGTACATAGGGTTGCTGTGAGTCACAGGCAACTCTACAGCACATAACGACAACATAGCAAAGATAATTTTGAAATATGTATGTATCTATACATACATATATATTGCTACCAAGCCAAAGGTCTTATAGCCCTGGTGTGTCCACTTGCCGTACAGAGGTAACTTGTGGTCACTGTGAAGCTGAACACTGTGACACTGACGTGTCAAATGCGATAATAATTACCCATGGTGGACAGTGTTTGGTGGGGCTCCCTGGTTAAAACAAGCTTGGAAGCAGGAGTGACATCCACTTCCGTAAATAGCTTGCCTCTGGAAACCCTATGAACCTGGAGAAAGAATGAAAATCATGCAAGTGTTGAGGACTTTCTTTCATAGGGTCACTAAGAGTCACCTGTGACTTGAAGGCACTTAACAACAACAACAACAACAATGTACCTATAAAACTCTCACCACAAACAAGATGATCAGCATGTCCCCACCTCCAAAGTTGTCTTGTGTCCTTTATAATCCCTCCCTCCTGGCTCTTCCTGACACCACAGCAAGCACTGTATCCCAGTTCCTTTGTGAGATTAGTGATGAATTTGATATTCTACAGTACAACCATTTCATTGGATCTCAGATGTCAACAGGAGCATCTACAGATCTTTAGATTCCGATTTTGTAATAGAATTTTATAAGAACCACAATCTTCTCATTTCCCAATTTTACTCCCTACCTTTTCTATTCTTACCCTTTTGTTTTCACAAGCCAAGTGCTTGAGAATTCTGTTTGTCCCTTTAAAATATATTTCTGTATGTAAGGGATTGTATGAAACATAATGTGAATGTTGGCGGGGGGGGGGGTGAACCCAAGATAAAAAACCAACCACAAATATCATAAATCTATGCTTTACACGGTAATATCAGAAATACGTAATTGGCTCCATGGCCTACAAGATGTCAAATACTATTGAAAAGGATGCTTCATTAAATAATCATGACACATGAAATGTGGCTATCGTTTACTTAAGGAAATCCATATATGTATTAAAGAAAGTATATATTTGTGGTTGAGCATTTGGGCTATTTCCATGTTCTTGTGATGGTGAATAATACAGCCCAAATGTCCAACCACAAAGGAATGGATTGAGAAATTATGGTACGTTCACACAATGGAATACTCTGCAGCACATAGGAGCAATAACTTTGTAAATTATTGCCTAACTTGGGAGGGACTAGAGAGCATAATGCTGAGTGAATTAACTCAGTCCCACAAGGATAAATATCGTATAAAACCATTATTGTAGAATAAGTATAAGGATCCAGGAGGGTGGGGGAGAGATTGGAAGCAGAGGGATGAGGATGTGCAGGGGGAGGGGAGATAATCATGGGGTTGTACAATTTAATATGGGGGGGGTGAAGGAAATTTTAAGAATTTATTCTTGAAAACAATGTATTTTAATTTTGTAACAAAACTAGTAGAAAATTAAAAAACTAAATAAATTTTTAAATGTGTATGTTTATTATAACTATGTATTATACATTATAATTAGAGGGTATTCCTTGGAGAGAGATTTCATGCTTGGAAAGGTGCTGGGACAGTAAAAAGAGGTAGACCCTCAACCAGGTGGATTGACACAGTGACTGCAGCAGTGAGCTCAGTTATGTCAGAAATTGTGAGGATGGCTCCGGACAGGACAGGGGCTGCTGCTGTTCATAGGGTTGCTCTGAATCAGACTTGACTCAAAGGCACTAACAGCAATATTTACAATGTTAACAATAACATATATGTATTATTAACAAATGATTTTTTTGTGTTCTATGCAGGTCAATATATTTGCAGATTGACATTAGATATTTTTGCATATGAGGCCAGGACAAAAATATCTGTTGTTCCCTTTCAAATTTCAATAAGTCAAGAAACGACAGTGGTGTGTGACAACAATCCTGTGAACTTGGAATGCTGCAGTGAGAAGAATACTAATTGGAGTAGCATCGAATGGATTCAGGACGGGACACACTACGTTGCAGGTGAGACAATTGTATGATAGGCCCTTTTATAAATTGACTTTTCTCTCTTGGCCAAATGAAAATGGGACACATAGTGAGTGAAAGAAGAAGTATCAAGTGGCTCGGTTTTTGTTTTTCTAGACTTCCAGCTGTAGAAAAGCGCTAGTTTTGATGTCACTTCCAGCTTAACCAATGTAGAGTGAAAATCCAGACACCTATGAATACCAGTGTCAGACTCCATGCGTAAACAGGTGTGGATATCATATTTGGTAAAGCAGGGGCCATCAAAAGAGAGGAGAACCTTCTACAAAATAGGTCAACACAGCAGTTGCAACAATTTGCTAAAACACAATAACATAAAGATTTTCTAGATAGTGCAGAACTGGATATAGTTTTATTCTGCTTATATATAAAGTTATAGTGAATTGGAGTTGATGCAATAACAGGTAATAATTATAGCAATTACAACATGCTATTCCCTTTCGCATTCAAAGAGGAAAAACATCTAATTAGGAATAGTTTTTCTGTACGTGCCTTTTTGTGACTAAGTTTGGTTATCAGTCAACTGTAACATCCAAAGACCTGCCTTTTCCGTTGTAGGAATCCCACAAACAGACCTAGAGTCTGGTTGCACCAAATACGTCGTTATAGTTGATGAGACCCAGTGCCCAGCTGAAAAAATTATCAACTTCACCTGCGAGTTCGTCAGTGCTTATGGGGGCAGAGGCACTGAGCAAGTAAAAGTAAATTTCTTCCCAAAGGGTAAGAATCTGTTTTAGTCATATTTTTAGCTGTAAATATATTGTACCCTAAAGCAGTGTCTTCCAAAGAACTGAGAATATCTATGAGCAAGAGAAGCAAGATTTTCTTGGGAATGGGAGTATACTTCAGCCAAGTCATACAATGAGATATGGGAGAGGACTCTCCTCTGTTCCATTTTAATTAACACAGAGGGTTTTTTTACTGGTAAGATAGGAGAAAGAGCCCTGGTAGTGGAGTGGTTAAGCACTTGAGTGACTGCTGATCCAAATATTAACACTTCAGATCCACCAGTCACACTATGGGAGAAAAATGTGGAAGCGTGTTTCCATAAAGATCATAGTCTTGGAAACCCTATAGGGCAGGTCTATTCAAATAAACTCACTGTGAGCCAGAACCCTCTTGATAACTTGGGCTTCATCTGGTTTTAGTGTAAGTGTAGGGCTGGTGAACAGTGGCAGCAGGGAAGATACTGCCTGGATAGTGTATTGATCAGGCACAGGAGGACTGGGAGGTAGAGTTTCACACTCAGGTTAGTTTCTTGTTACTGACTGAACTCATTGTAAACTTAAAATAAGGCCCCAAATGCCTTCCTCTCTCCTTTCATTGTCCTGTTCTCCCTCCCTTGTGTCCTAATTGCCATTCACTCTCTGATAGCCCCTCACCTCTCTCTACCATCTCTCTTCTCCTATTTCACCTATTCTGGAAATAACATTGCAGGAAACTTCAGTAGCCTGGTATTTTGCAATTATTTTACATTTGGAACCAGTGTGTGCTTATCTTTCTATTAATGTAGGGTCTTTTTTTTTCTTTAAACTTGGTCCCCTTTTTAATATTTCTCTAAAAGAACAAAGTAGCTGTATCATCCTCCACAACTTTCTCCTTTCTTTCAGTTAGCATATTTTATAATTTTTTAATTGTTTTTTATTATTCATTTATTGCAGCACATTTTTTCTTCCCTCCCACTCCCTCCTCCTTCCACCAGTCTACTTGGCAATTCACCTCGTTCCAGAGGGTTGTCCTACATGAAATACCTAACCATATACTCCTTTTGGGCCACTCTTCCTCTCATCTGTCTCAGTCCAGTATTCCTTCTCTACCTATTCTTTTCCTTTCCTCCCCAGACCCCATGTCAGTCCTATTTTATAACAGCTGTGTTATGCAGTACTTGTCCTTTTGTGACTGAGATAGTAATGAAGGCGTAAAACATTACACAACATGGATAAACCTGGAGGACATTATGTTGAGTGAAATATCTCAGCTGTATTTTACACTTTTAAGTAAACAATTGCTATGGTTGGAAATATGCAGCTCCAGATGATGACAACCAGAAGTATTGTCATGACATGAGATGCCATCTAGCTCCCAAGAGGACATCGGCTGGGGGTCCCCTCTGTATTTACCGCATCACTCCCATATCTGATAGCTACTTCTGCAGCTCACTATTTTGCTGCAGAATTTCTAGATCAGAGCATCCACCTATACAATCACTCCCTAAAAAAAACCACAAGGCACTGTTCGTGCACCTGTAAGCTGGTGAGAATCTCGAATCCCGTTGGGGTTGGTGGTAACTGTGATACTGAAAACACCAGGAGTCCTTGTTGGAAAGATAAATGGGTGAGGGTGTTATGGGTCTTCTTGCAGTCGAGGCCAGTGGGCATGATGAGCACAAGTACCTTTCCGGGGTGGAGTTTGCTGCCACAAACTCTTGAGCTATCCTGACAGGCTGTTACCTTCTGGGAAGGATATGTTGGTGACAGGTAGAGCTGGAGTGTGAAGCCTAAGCCTTTGAAATGATCACTTCTTGTCTCCTAAAACTAGATATTCCCTACCCCCTGCCAAAAAGGGGAATCAAGCTTGGTTTCTGACTCATCTTAAAAAAGGAAATATATAGATAAACTATTAGAATGTTTTATACAATTTGGAGAAAGGACTGATATAAAAAAGTATTTGCTTCCTTTTTTTACATTTTCTGTAACTGTGACTTTATATTTCTTCAAAGGTCAACATGAAGTTCATCTTAAAAAAAAAAAAATATTGTCCTGGAAAAGTTTAGGGATATTTTTAACAAGTAGTAATTTTGTATAGTGAAAACAGTTTTTAATTCAACTCCAGATTTTAATTCTAAGGAGTTGTGTTGATTGTGTGAGGTTTTGACTGTCTTGGGGGCATATTTCTTCTTTGCCCTTTGGTCTTGTACCTCATCTAGAATCAGGAGAAACATTTATTCTCTTCTAGAATTAGGAGAACCATAGGTCCTAGGAACCTTTCACTTTCTTTCCTGAGCAGCATCTCAAGAGCCCTCAGCCAGTTATAACAGTAAGAGGGAAACGTCACCAGGTATTTGAGTATCTGAATCACCTCTTCTAAAGGGCACTGTAACTTTAAAGCCCTAATTTCTTTTGATATTTATTAACAATACAATTTTACATTGCTTGGTAAATCAACTGATAGGCTTAAGGCATAAAGCCATTTAACTACAGAGGACTTCAGGGAAGTCCATTTTGAAATGTCAACTATACAAAAAGACATGATCTAAGAGGAAAAAAAGAGATGGAGCCAAAAAGATAGAACATTTATGAGCTTTTATTATCTAAGGGAGTTTGCTAACATTTTCAGTGGGTAATTCTTATGAGCCAATGAGGAAATTCTCAGAAAGAGAAGCAATAAAGACCAACTCATTCATAGGATACCTATTCTCAATTTTCCTGAGACAATCCAGGACTAATTCTTTGGGCGATAAATTATATGATCCCTTTACTTAAAGGATAGCTCCAGAAATCATTCTTTTGCTCACTGATGGTTCATTATTAAACACTTAACTGTGTGCCAGACCCAGTGCCAAGTGTTGGCATCCCCTATCACAGAAGATACAGTGCATACCCTCGAGGTCACTTCTTTACATGGAAGAGAGATACAGAATGAATAGATGAAAGAGAGAAAGGCATTTCAGAAGAGAATTTTATAAGAACTGAGATTGAAGTTGCTATGAGAACAGAGACATGTAATCTACTCTGAGGGTCACAGTAGAGGTTGGAGGGGAGTTTGGTTTAAGCAAATATCACATCCCTAAGTATGCTACCTTCTGCCCTACTGATCATCAGGAGATAATTCCAGCAACGAAAGGGAAACGTTCGACCTCATAACGCATGTGATGGAAACGAGTACAATTCAGACCACCACCGCGAACAGCCTAGAAACAAGCAAAGCACAGGAGCAGCAAGGTACCAATCTCACGTTGACAGAAGTAGACTCAGGGTGGCCCCTTGTTTGTGTCTCTGTGTTAAGTTTCACTCCCCTCTTGATGTCACCAGAAAGACTAAACATTGGACTTGTTGTCGGTTTTATTTTGTTTGTTTTGTTTGCATTCTTTCAGCCAACCTAACAATAATCCCGGACCAAATTTCTGTTTCTGAGGGACAAAATTTTTCTCTAAGATGCATCAATGATGTGAGTAGCTATGATGAGGTGTACTGGAACACTTCCACTGGAATTAAAATATATCAAAGGTTTTATACCACAACGAGATATCCTGATAGAGTGGAATCAGTACTGACAGTCAAGACTTCGACCAGGGAATGGAATGGTGAGTGGATAAAAGCTTTGTAAAAGGTTGGG